TCCCTACCATTTCCATACAGCAAATAAAGTAATGGAAGAAGAGTGTTGGAGAAGAGGGGAAAAAATCTGTACCAGTAAGATTTATAAAGAAAACCAAACAAGCTTATGAAATGCTATTTGTTTAAGTATAAATTACAAAGTAAAAATAGTTTAAAACAAGAATACCTTTCTTTTCTCTTATAATGTGGTTTTACTTCATCAGATGAAATGCTTCGGGAAAGGATCAACTTAGCAATAATAAGAGACCAAAGTGTGCCATTTTGCCTGGATCTAAGAAAGATGGAAAAAAATGTATATTATATTCCATTTTGTAAGTGTACTTATAAGATGTTTAAAGACTGGCTACATAGATTCATTTCACTGAATTAAGTAATCACCTTGTGAGGCTATCAATTTACATAGGACTTTACACCCAAACAATTGCCATTATTACCCAAAGGATTCAGAATTTAGACTTTTGTTGTTAGTTTTTGGAGAGAGTTTTACTATGGGGCACGTGCTCTCACTACAGAGACAGAGAAACAGAAGGTAAGAAATCACCACCCATGGGATGGCCACACCACAATACCTTCTCTTCCATTCTATCAGGGTTTTGGGCACACATTCACATGCACCCAGCATGAATTTTAAGCAACTGAGTCCGGGGGCTTCGGGGGGTGATTTCTTGCATTCTGTCTCTCTGTCTCTTTCTGGCAAGCACATGTGCCCTGTAGCAAAAAAAAAAAAAAAAAAAAACTCTCAAAAAAAAACCAAATTAGACTTGCAATCAAAGGCTGCAGCTGGGAAAAGGATATCTCCCAGAGCATACCTAGGATGCTTTGAGGAACCAAGGAGATAACCCACTGAGGAAAGTTGTGAGTGTTAGCATGTTCTGTGGGATTTCAAAGGAAGCCTGAGTTCTCTGGTACTGCAATGCATGCTTCAAATGCTACAGAAAAGGATAAATTATTAAAGAAAAAGCAGTTTGACCCAGTAATTTCAATGAGCTAAACACCTAACTGCTATGACTCACGAAGACTCCATTTTCATACCTATTTTCCTCATCTAGAGGAGAAGGCTTTTTGGTTATAAAGTCAAGACACACGTATAACATGTGAAGATTCAATTTGAGAGCATTAGCAAAATGGGTCACAGTGGACAAATTAAAACAACTTCTACGAGCTTCTATTTATTTCAATACTGTCTTCCCCTAGGACATATTTATCAGTTCAACAAGACAAAATCCAAATACCTCCCTCAGATGATTCAATCAAGTATAAGAATTAACAAAATATTCTGACAGAAACATCATCATGAAGGTTACATTTTACAGGAAGACAAGGCCAGAAACAAGTAAAACAGTCATTTTAAAAAAGGGAAACTGAAAGGAATTCTTACCTATCAAATAACAGCTGCAGAAGTCCAGAAGTACTACCAAGCAGTACACATAAATTATCATATGTGATATTCATTTTCTGAAGCATTTCACAAAATCCAGTTAGAAAAATAGGTGGATTGTCTAATTCTTCACACCACTGCAGGGAATAGAGCAGTTCTGCAACTAACAGAATGGACAGCACCAAATTATTAACAGTACTTTGTGAACAAATCCTTCAACTATTCTCACTTCTCTACTGCATAACTCCAAGCATGTATGTATGAGTACCCAAAACCCAAAGAGGAAAATAGAAGAGAAAGGATTGTGAAGTGGCCATCTTCCCTAGAGGTGATTTCTTACTTTCCCTCTCCTCTTCTCCCCAGAGAGGGCACATGTCCTGTAGGAAAACTTAAAAACAAAAACCAAAACAAAAACAAACCAAAAAAAAAAAAAAAACAATGTGGCCCAAAAAGTGGTTGGTGGCTAAGGCACTGGATCCCATGTGTCCAAATACACAGTTTAAGTCCCAGATGCCATGGTTTGAGAAACATGCTGGATGTATGTGTGTGCATGCCCAAAATCTTGACAAGAGAATAGAGAAGAAATTGTAGCAGGGTCATCTTGCTTTCTGTCTTTCCCTCTGTCTCTGGAAAGTGTACATGCCCTATACAAAAAAATTAAAATTAAGAGAATGTGACAAAGACATAAGTTACAGGAGATACCAAAAGAGTCTTCCCACTATTTTGGCACAATTGTTAAGAAGATGCATGCAGGTAAAACAACCAATGGACTCAACACCTGAGGTGAGAAGTTTATGCCAATGTAGTAAGAAATAGAAGATAGCACAATACAGTGAAAACAGGCCAGGGCCTCAACAACAGACTGGTCTAATTCAAATCTTGCATATTACAGGTTTCTAAATAAATAGTCACAATTCCCTGTGAAAAAGGGATGTATACATTTTAGAATCAGAAGCCTTAAGGATTGATTTAATTCTTAATTCAGTCCTACCCTTATATACTAGCAACTTTAATCAAGTCAAGATAATAAAAATAATAATAGTAATTGTTAATGAGAATATTAAATAAATAACATTTCCAATTTATAATTAGTAACACAATGAACAAAAATCAATTAGTGCGAAAGTTATTACTCTAACTCCCAGCTCTACGCTTGAAGACTTTCATTGTGTGATCAATGTAATATAGCTAAGAGCTTATAAACAAGATCGACATAGAATTTATACAAACCTTTAATTTATACAAACCTGATTTGTACCATCTCGTACAAATCACCCTATCTACAATTCTAAGCCATTTCCTAGAATGAGGAAATTTGAGAGGTCTTAAGTTCTCTTGGGATTCAACATTTGAACCTCTACTTGTCAGGAAAATAATTAAAATAGCATGAAAACAAGGTATAGAGGTTTAAAAAAAATGGAAAATTCAGAATCTTTGATAAAATACCAAAGTCTGACTAATCCATTTTCTTTAAGGTTTATGCTATAGGAGCTGCTTATACTGATGTCACTGACCTTATACTAAATTAGGTTCAACAGCTAACAAGATTATCTGAAGATTTCGGTATATTTCCAATGTTCAGTTTAACATTCATCACTTAATTTCAATCTCCCATCACTAAAATAATTCAAGGAAAGCTAAAGATTCTTGAAATAAAGGTTTAAAATTCAGAGTCAACAGGCGGTGCAGAAGTTAAGATGGCTGGATCCCACGTGGCCAATTCTGCAGTTCAAGTCCCAGATATGGCAGCTTAAAAATCAACATTGGGACAGGATCAGCAGTTAGCGTAATGGCTATGTCGCTAAACTCCCATGTAGTTGACCGCGGTTCAAGTCCTGGACCCAGTGGCTTAAACTCACACCGGGCGCGTGTGCGTGCATGCTGAAGATCCCGAGAGGAGAATGGAGGAGAAGGGATTTGTGGCATGGCCATCGCCCCAGGGAATGATTTCTTGCTTTCTGTCTCTCTGTCTCTCTGGCGAGCACATGCACCCGTAGCAAATACCTCTCAAAAAAAAAAAAAAAAAAAAAATCAATGCCCAGGGCACCGGAACAAAATCCCCCCAAAAAAAAAAAAAAAAAAAAAATCAACATTGGGCTTGTAAGCATACATGCCCTAAATCCTGAGAGAACGGAGAAGAAGGAATTGTGACATGACCAGCCACACGGTGGGTGATTTCTCTTTCTCTCTCTGGGAAGTGTATGGTACTATAGCAAAAACTAAAAGATTTAAAATGCAGTATAATCACAATTATTTCGAAGTTATACTTATTCACATATTATATCTGAATGTTTATATATACTTACTTATTTTCTCAAGCTCATTATTTTCTAGGACTATTTCCTTTTTCAGTGCAACTAAGATCATTTTGCTCAGTAATGCTGAAGTACACAAATGGCTGGGAAGTATCTTTGTATCTTGTTCTTTAAAATCTGTTTTGAAACACTCGTAATTCAAACTCAATCTTCCCTCTAAAAGAGGTCGATATAACCACTGTAAAAAGAACATACTAAATTACATACAAAAAAAAAATCACCAGATATTCAAAATTACTTACTACCCATACAATTCAGACAAGAAACAAAAATGGTTATTAGCATATCTAGTTTATTAGTAAAATCACAGAAACAGAGAAATTTGGTTTCTACTACAGAAAATGATCAGCATGGATTTTTCTTTAAGACTCTTTGAGGACAGAACTAGCTCTTATTTACCTTTGTAGCATGAAGCGTCAAATGACATCTTACAGAAAGCAAATAGCCAACAGGAGTGTTCAGAAACATAAAGACAAAGCTAGATGCTCATTTATTATTTTTTTCTTTCCCAAAATAAAATGAAAATACTCAAGTATGCATAAAATCCAAACTTCATGATACATGCACTCTCTAATCCAAGCATACCTGAATAGGAAGAGACTGTCTCATCTTTTCCCATTCGCTGTTGTTTGGCATTACACTTTCAATATAAACTCCCATAAGACAAGTGTCTTCACTCTCTAGAAGTGCGTTTAGTAAATCACCAACAGCAGATAAGAGGACCTGAAGACTGAAGATAAAGTAAAGGGCTTAACTGGTGCAATTACACTGCCCAGCTTGAACATCAAGGTATGCATTAGATATGGTCTAATAGATTACCTAAACAAAAATACATAAAATAAAAATAGAAGCGACTCTCTCACCCTGACATACACAGTCAAATAGGGTACAAAATTCAGCATTTATGATTTAAAATCAAATGTTGCTTCTTCTACAAGGGGTTCTCAAAAAATCTGTGGAAAATCCATATAATGAAAAACTACATATGGATTGCAAAGCTTTTTTTGTACCAAGAAAAGGTCAACACTTTAATTCTGTTTGTTTGCTTGTTTGTTTTCAAAAACTTTCTAAAGATTCCTCCTATCGCAGAATGAAGGGACCTGACGTATTTCAGATAATTCTGAAATAATGCTATTTTTTTTCAATTTTCTATTACTTATTAGTTTTTTCTTTTTTTTAGATTTCTGCCATAAGCACATGCACCTGCCAGAGTGAAAGAGCGAGAAAGGGAAGTAAGAAATCACTCCTCAAGGGAATGGCCATGCCGCAGTCCCTTCTCTATTCTCTTCATGGGATTGTGGGCAAGCATGCACACACACCCAGCATGTTTTTCAAGCTGCCAAGTCCAAGACTCCAACAATACAGCTGGTCATGTGGGATCCAGTCACATTAACCACCACACCACCTGGATGGCCCATTAACTCTCTCATCCCGTGAAAAGAAACGTGATTATCTGACCCAACTCTAATATCCTCTAGATCCAGTCTCTCTTTTCCAAGCAAATTATATGGACTTAGGCATGAGATGTAAAATGTATCTGTAATTCAACACTTTAAAAATAAACAACTAAGAATGATCAAAGTGTGTGGTGGCCATGAGAAGTTATGAACACATCTATGCCAGTCGTGACACAGGCTAGTAACAGCACATTAGACACAAATCAGGAAGGACCCAGAAGATGTCACAAAAAAATCATTCTTAACTGATAATTTAAATGAGTATCTATGAAAACAAAATGCTTTGGGAAAAATCCATTTGCCAGATCTTCTCTTACAGTTCTGTAGATTTCTTTTATAACAAGTCATTTTCATAGGCACTCACACTAATCAGAGAATCTTATTTAAAGACAATGATTGAGCATAAAAGAAATACTACAAATGAGCACAAGAATTACCTTTTGATGTCCAAAGAAGAAGACTGAACTTGGTTCTTCAGCCACAGAGCAGACAAACGTAAGAAGGTACTCTGTTTATATGTATTGGCAGTTTGATGGACCAATAAATTCACACCAGAGAGCCAAGTATTTTTCAGCTTACAGATAAGAAAATCTAAAATCAAGTATCAACAGGAATCTGTAATCTCACTGAATTAACTCTAATCAGTATAAAAGCTCTAAAAGAACTCACTACAGATGTGAGACTTTTGAGATAGCATATTAAAATAAAAACACAATATAAAATTCAATTGCTAAACTAAAGTGACCATTGTCAAACATATAATAATACAAGCTTACTTGTGCCATGTAAATGTAAAGTGGTAGGATTTTAAAAGTAAGCTTTTTCCTGCTCTGAGCTTACTTATTAAAGGGCTGTCCTTTTGGATATGTGAAAAGAATTATTATACCTTTTCCAAACAGAAAAGTCAGTATTAACGGAAGTGTTGGAGGGGAGGGTTCTATCAGTATTTTTTATGTTCCTTTCATAAATTAGTCTGAATTAACATAAGGCAAAAATGTAGTCTTTAGAAGGACAATGTCAATTTCATTTTAATATACACGAATATTATTTTTTTAACTAAAATAATGAGATGATATTATTCCTGTCATATGAATGAGAAAACCAAGGCACCAAGAATTAAGCAACTTGCCAGGACACCTGAATGGGGGAGCTAAGATTCTAACTCAGTTGTTATGTTCCTTTTGTATTAAATAAGAACTTTAGACACAACATCTACTGTCTTTAATCTAGTTTCTAAAGCTGAAAGTGTAAAAGCGTATGTAGTCCTTTACTTACATGCTTTAAGCTTTCAAATATATTATGATTCAATTAATAAAGCCTGGGCACTAACACTCACTATGAAGGTCAGAGCCAGAGAGTCTCAAAAAAATAACTGAGTAGTACAGTATTACCTGGCAAATGTGTTTTTTCTTTGCTCTTAGCACATAACTGAAAGAGAGTTAATAATAAATCTTCCGATGAAGGCATGAGCGAACATCCATTCGCTGAACTGAAATAGCTATAGGCCACATCACAGACGTAAGACACCGATGAGTTACTATTTTCAGCTTCTGACAACTCCTCTATTTTCAATAAAGGTTCATGAAGTGTAACAATAATTCTTTCAACATATACTTCTCCAATCAAGTAATCTAAAGAAGAAAAGTTCAGAGATAAAAAATAAAAAATATTAATGGAGTAGTCTAAAATTTTAATTTTAATTTCAATAACCAGGTAAACCCTTTCATGTGTTTTTCTTAAGTATTACATTAAATTATATCAACCAATAAATCTATTCTCTCATTTATTTATATGTCTATGTGTATGTCAGTATATATATAAATAAAGTCTTGGGGTAAAAAAGCAGTTTTAAATTAAGTAAAAATCAGTAACAGTCTATAAAATTAAAGTGAGCGACTGCCCCATTCTATAGGCCACATCACAGACGTAAGACACCGATGAGTTACTATTTTCAGCTTCTGACAACTCCTCTATTTTCAATAAAGGTTCATGAAGTGTAACAATAATTCTTTCAACATATACTTCTCCAATCAAGTAATCTAAAGAAGAAAAGTTCAGAGATAAAAAATAAAAAATATTAATGGAGTAGTCTAAAATTTTAATTTTAATTTCAATAACCAGGTAAACCCTTTCATGTGTTTTTCTTAAGTATTACATTAAATTATATCAACCAATAAATCTATTCTCTCATTTATTTATATGTCTATGTGTATGTCAGTATATATATAAATAAAGTCTTGGGGTAAAAAAGCAGTTTTAAATTAAGTAAAAATCAGTAACAGTCTATAAAATTAAAGTGAGCGACTGCCCCATTCACAAGAATATAGAATATAATTTAGAATATAAAACTAAAAACAGTACAATATTTTCTAAGCCATACTAAAAAGATTAATAAACATTTAGAGTGTTTATATAAAAATTAAGATATTTGAAAATATCAATTAATATTGTTAAGCACTGTTACTCTCAACCAATAATATACAAACTGTGCAGCATGGAATCCCCCCAAAAGGGAAAAGGATTACCCACTACCAGAAAACAAAAGTCTTGTTTCTCCTACCATTTTTAACATGTTGGGATAATACCAAGCTTAGAAGAGTCCATTTTTCTGAGAAGTAAGATTCTGAAGATACTGTCAATTCTGAATCCTTATTACAAAGACAACGTGCCCAGGTTACTAATTTCTCGCCAAGGATATCGCCTTTTAGCCAAGGAGTCACTAAAGTATGTTTATCTGAACTAGAACATGCCTAAAACCATAAAATTAAAACAAAGATTAGAAGTAAGATTTTATGTCATAAAATTTTATGTCCCAAAGATCACTCCTCTTCCTCCTTGAAGTTCTAGGAACACTGGTACTTCCCTGTGCTCAGCACTCTTGCTACCCTGTGACAAGCCTGGCTCATGTTCACTTCCAGGCCTTGCTCATGTTATCTATCTTCCCAACCATAAATATTCCCCCTCTTATCAAAAACCCATCCATGCTTCAAATATCAGTACAAATGCCATCTGCTTTAGGAAGTCCCTCCCATCCACTGCAGCCCGTAATGATCACTGCTTTTCTCTGAGTTTCTAAAGCACTTACTGGATTGTATAATGATTTAAATGTTTCATCTGTTTGTATCTTGTCTTTCCAATCAGATTGTAAATTCCTCAAGGGCAGAGACTGTCTTAAACTTCCTTGATACCTGCTATCAACACTGCAGATATGTTCAATGAATATTGAATGGATAAACTTGGAAGACAGATTTATTAATGTTCTATAGCTGTTACAATTTTGTTCATTAATTTTGCCAAAATTAAGGACCAATTAATGTGTAATAAATATAAATTACTTCAATATAAAAAATGGGACTTATTTCCCCAAATTCCCTGAAATTGAGTTTTACTGGGGCCAGGTATCTGACAACAACAACGTTTATTTTCATGGAGTGGGGAAGCAAGAAAAAGAAAATTTCTAAAAATCCACCCCAAAAAGCATGCTGATCCATGTTCCCAGAGCTTCTTTTGCTTTAAGGGCTGAGAAGAAAGGTATTTGCAACTTGGTTCATTTCAAAGCAATCTGGAAAAAAAAAACAAAAGAAACCAAGTGCAGATTGGGTAGTGAAAAACTGCTTAACCTTTTAAAAAATGCGTTGGTAGCCAGAACCTATATTTTAGTCCACTACTAAACTGAATGAACTCTATGACCTAAAACAAATCTCTTAACCATTCTGTATCTATCTCTTAATTTAAAAGCTGAAAAAGAAAATCAGTAAGGTCCTATTCTGACCCAACATTCTGGTTTTCTTTCTTATTTTTATTTAATTATTTAAAGCTGATGTTAGGGATCTGCTCAAAATGTATTAAGTTCCACAATAAAAAAATAAATTAAAAAAATAAAAAAAAAAACTTTAGAATTTAGATGACAACAACACTGGCTTTTCTTATAATAATTTACCAAATAAAACCAATCTGTAGAATGCTGGTAGAGAATATAAATTTCTGAATAAAATGTTTCTTGAGTTAGCAAAAACATTAAAGCTCAGCATCTCAATGTATTAATATAAGGAATGAAAGAATTTATGGAGCGGGGTCTGCCAGGTAGTGTGGTGGTTAAGGCCGCTGGATTCCCACATGGCCAACCACGGTTCAAATCCTGGACCTGGTGGCTTGTTTTTTTTCTCTCTCTCTCTCTTTCTGTCCCTCTCTAGTCAAATTAAAATAAATAAATAAATAAATAAAGCTAAATAAAATAATTCTTTAAAAAAATAGCTTATAAAAAAAAGAAAGAATTTATGTAGCTATAAGGAGATGGGGAGACTAGTGAGTCACGGAAGCATAGGAGGCAAACACTGGCAAGTAACATGTACCCAGGGCATTTTCCAATGGGTACAAGGATCTGAGCTACCTGGCAGGTATACTCCTAAATTGAAAATGGATATATCAATTTACTAGTATCAAATCATTAATAACCCCTGCTTTGATTGTGGAGCTTTCTTTTTTTCTTTTTTTTTAAGTTTTGGACACAGGGCGCATGCATTCCTCAGAGACAGTGAGAAAGAAAATAAGAAATCACCCTCTCCCACAGGGATGGCAGGCTGCAATCTCTCCTCCACACTCCTTTCAGGATATTGGGTGCACATGCACATGCACCCAGCATGATTGTCAAGCCATGAAATCCAGAACTCAAACTGCAGTCAGCCATGTGGGAGTTCAGTGCCTTAACCACCATGCTACCTTGGAGCATTCTATAATTTGGTTTTTCATGTAGCTTGCCTACAGAGGAAGAAGGCACTGAGTAAATTAATGCAAATGGTGAGCCTGATAAGTTATGTTTCTCATTTAAAATAAATTAAAATTCTGCATTTATTTTGTAAAAATAAACTTTACGGAAAATGGATACAGTTTCAGTTCTGCAAGATGATAAAGTTCTGGATATGGGCTGTACAATAACTTGAATAGATTTTACGTTACTGAACTATAAATCTAGAAATGATGAAGATGACAATATATTTCTTAAAATTTGCTAAAGGGTGCATGCATTCACCAGAGAAGAACAAGGAAAGAGAGTGAGAGAGAAAGAGAAAGAAAATGAGAAAGCATCCTCCTTGGGGAATGGTCACACTGCAATCTCTACTCCTCCACTTATCCTTTCAGGATTTTGGACATACATGCACACATGGCCAGCACGTTTTTCACGCTACCAGATCTGAAACTTGACCCACGCAGTTGGCCAGGTGGCATTCAGTCGCCATAATCACCACACCACCAACTTGCCCCAAGATGGTAAATGTTTTGTTTGTTTTTTATTATAAGTTTTAAAACAGAAAAAATAAACTCATAACATCAAAAGTGTAATCTGTGTAAAATTTTAAAATGTTTAAATGCTTTAAAAGAGTAATAATTTTTAAGTAGTTAGTTGTAACATTATTTTCATAGTTAGAAACTTATTCATTATATCACTTAAATCCTCATTAAGAAGAAATATTTAAGCAAGTTTTCAAATTTCTAAATTCTTTACTCTTTTTTTGCTTTTTAAATTTTTTTTTTTTTTGGAGAGGTTTTTGCTATAGGGCGCGTGCGCTCACCAGACAGAGAGAGACAGAGAGATAGAAAGCAGGAAATCACCCCCCAGGGGGATGGCCACGCCGCAATCCCTTCTCCTCCATTCTCCTCTCGGGATCTTGGGCACGCATGCACACGTGTCCGGCGTGAGTTTAAGCCACCGGGTCCGGGACTCGAACCGCGGTCGACTACGTGGGAGTCCAGCGACATAGCCATTACACTAACTGCTGGTCCTGCTTTTTAAATTTTTTAAAAATATTTTTGCCATAGTGCACAAGTGCTTGCTGGAGAGACAGAGAAAGGGGGAAAGTGAGAAATCACCCCCTAGAGGGATGGCCACACCAAAATTCCTCTCCTCCATTCTCTTCTTGGGATTCTAGGCATGCACATGCACATGCATGTACACAGAATGATTTTCAAACTGTGTCCAGGACTTAACCGTGGAGTCGGCCATGTGGGATCTCGTACCTTAACCGCCACACCACCTGCTGGCCCTTCATTTATACTCGCTGTTTATTTTTTATTCAGTCAATTGGCAATCACACAAAGGCTGGGAGATATTTATCAGCCTATTATTCCAGAGTAGAATAACTAAATTCACTAATGTGTTCTAGCCAAACCACTCAATCCATTTCTGCAGAAGAAAAACTAGTAACAGTACAAAGCTATAGCTTTAATTAAAAGATAATAAAATGTTTAATTCTCCCTTAGTAACTTGCTAAAAAACAAAATCCCAAATTTTTCAGAGCCTGTTCATTCTTCTGATATTCCTAATCACAAAAAAAATACTTTAGAAATTCAAATATCAACTATTTTCCCAAATTATGGGCAGAGAGTTAAAATAATAAGCCCTCTAACATGGATACCTGACTACTTGACCATATTCAAGGAGCGAATATAACTGTGGTTTTAATTTTTCTCTGCCAATTAACACAAAATGCAAAGAAGAAAAATCTCTAAGATACCTTTTCAATAACCTGAAGAAGTGAGTTACATTTCAGGTCCACCTGAAAGAAGAAAAAGAGTTAGAAACAATTAGCTAGAATGAACAGCAGAACTAAAAGTACATGAAGTCCCCATGTAACCAATACAGAAATGAAAGTAATTTTTTAAAATTTATGATAGGGCATGTAAGCTCACCAGAGACAGAAATATGGAGAGAGACAGAAAGTGAGAAAGAGCCCTCCCGCAGGGATGGCTATGCTGCAATCCTTTTTCCTCCATTATCTTCTTGAATTTTGAGAAGACACATACATGGTGTGCTTTTCAAGCTGCCAGGTCCAGGACTTGAACTAGGTAATCAGCCATGTGGGATCCAGCTGCCTTAACCACCACATCACCTAGAGGCCCCAGAACCGAAACTGTTTTAAGTTCATCTGTTAAAAGAATGGACTGAAATATCTCACCCTCTTATTACCACGCTTTTGTCACCCTGGTATTCAAGAAGAGCTACCTAGCAGCCTTAGACACTTTCCAAGTCACGATCAAGAATATACTGCTTGCCTTGGGACCAGCAGATGGCGTGGTGGTTAAGATGGAGAACACTCCCACATGGCCGACCATGGTATGAGTCTTGGACCTGGTGACTTGCTTTCTCATTTCCCCTCTCTCTCTTTCTTTTTGGTCAGATTAAAATAAGTGAATGAATGAATAAAATTAAATAATTATTTACAAAAACAAAGAATACATTGCTTGCCTTTAACTTTGACTATAAATTGTTAGTCAAGAAACAATACAAAATTAACCCCTATGCAGGCCTTTTCCAGTCACATGGTTTTAAAAGATATACAAAAATGATACCTTGGTTAGATCATCCAATACATCTTTTCTTTCCACATCGCTGTCACAGCAACGGAGGGCACTGTATAAAATGTCTACCAGGAAACCAGCATCCTTCCTTTGATCTTCATTTAGCCAGCCTATTAGTTTCCGGTACAAAAACTGCACTGCAGGATTTTTTTGTGCAAGTTTGGCTATTTCAGGAGATTTGGCTTTAATAGTACTGTGTTTTTCATCACCAAGGAGCATCTTAAAGACATGGCTTGAAGAGAAGGAGTCAAGCAGAGTAGAAAGAAACCTTAGATGCTGCTCTGACTTTTGTTCACTGACATAATTAAAACTCATCTCTGCAAGTTTACAGACTAAGTCTTCCAAAGGCTTTTTCCTTAGAGGAGATAACAGGTTTGAAGAATTATGAGTGAAAGATTCAGTCATTAATTCAGAGTTTTCACTGTTCTCCCCCTCCGAGGATCCACATTTCTCGCTCTTTATATTATTTCCTGGTATCTCATCAGCAAATCTAACCTTCCCATTTTTTTTTTTATTTGACTTCTGAAGAACCTGTAATAGATTAGATACACCCAAAACAGACTTAACATCTGCTTCTGGCTCATTGATTTTCTTAACACAGATTTCTGACAGCTTTTCCCAGAAATTTAGCAGTACATTCTCCAAGTTGTGTGCTGTTTTATCATCTTTTTCCATGTCTGCTTTGGCTTCCCAGGAACTTAGAGTTTCTGCTAAATGGTTAAATAGCTGCCCATGTTGCAATCTTGGCTCTTCGAGAACTGTATCAATTAAAGGGATCAACTAGAAAAGAAGGTAAAAAATATAAACATTCAACTTTCAGGAGAAATAATTTAAACAATACATTTGTAAAATATGAATTTCATATTTAATAACTGAAAAACATATTTTACCTCAGAACTCAAGATTCTTCATCAATAACAAATAACCCAGTTTTATTTGCATTTTCTGGAATTAAATTTAAGTTTTTTTTGTTTTTCTGCCCTAATTCTAGGCAAACTCCATAGATAAGCCTACATAATAAATACCTGATCATTGACGAGCATCTGTTCAATCTCTTCCTCACCTAAGTTTTGTTGCATTATAAAACGGAAGCATTCAAAAAAAGCAGATATTACTGCTGAGCACTCTGAAAAGCTGGTTTTGATTCTCTCCGTTGACAGCCTAAGAAATAACAAATGTAAGTATGAATTACACTTTCATGCAGAAGAAATGAAAATTATACTTTCATGCAGAAGAAAATAGGAACTCAGCATAACCAAAATAAAGATCCAAAAGAGGTATCATACCAAAAGAGGATTTTTTAAAAACTAAAATCTTTTTGAGCCAGCAAATGGTGTAGTGGTTACATGGTTAGACTCCCATGTGGCTGACCATGGTTCAAGTCCCATACCTGATGGCTTAAAACTATACTGGGAGCATGTGTGTGCATGCCCAAGATCCTGCGAGGAGAATGGAGAAGTAATTACAATGTGGCCATCCCCCTGAAGGGTGATTTCTCACTTTCTGTCTCTATCTCACTCTATCTCTCTGATGAGCATATGCATCCTATGGCAAAAATTACTCTCAAAAAAAAAATCTTGCTAATACATATGATAATGTCTTTGACTTGACTAATAGACACTGTATTCATCCTGGGAAAAATCAGGTTGTACACTGTAAAGACGTACAGTAATTAATGTAAACAAAAAATAAATAATAACTGGCAGGCTAGCAGGTGTTGTGGTGGCTAAGGCACAGGATATCACATGGCTGACTGCACAGTTCAAGCCCTGAAACCAGGGGCATGACAAATAGGCCATGTAAGAAATCCTGAGAAAAGAATGGAGACAAGATTGCAGTGTGACCATCCCAGCTGGTAGGTGATTTCTCACTTTCCCTCTCTCTTGTCTCTCTAGCAAACCAATGTGCCCTATGGCAAAAATTAAAATACAATAAAAACCTTGGCCAGCTGCAGTGGAATAGCAGTAACACAATACTTCATGATACGGAAGACACGCAGAGGTCCCAGGTTCATGTTCCAAGTTCTCCATGTACACACCAGGTGCTGTATCAGCAACCCTGGCTGAATGAAGCTCTGGCTGACTGTAGCATAAGACCTCTGTTGTCTGTCATACATCTGTCCCTCCCTCTCTCCCTCCCTTCCTCCATCTTTCATGGAATAAATTAAATTTTAATAAATGATTGGAATTCTTAACTAAAAACTAGCAATAACCAACCAAAATGCATATATCCTGATGAGAATGTAAATTTGGAAAAATTGTGAGAAAAAGCAAACATTTTCAAATGTATCAGCAAACAATAAGAGATATTTATTTTCTGTGCTGGCTCTGTGGTACTGTGGAACTGTGGTGCTGACAAGAAGCCATGGCAACCATGGTTCAAATTCCCAGCCCACTCAGGCTGAAACACACTGGGTATGCACTATCAGGCAAGATCCAACAGGCTGGAAGACTAACTAGAGGAATGAGAGTGTCCAAGAGCGGACCTATAAAGGGTGCTCATATCTCTCTCTCTTCCATACACTCATGTGAGCATGCATGCATTCTATCATGGATAAGGAAAAAGAAAAAGGACAGAGGTACTGGGCCAACTGGTAGCGTGGTAATTAAAATGCTGGATGCCACATGACCAACTACACAGCTAGAGACCTGGATCTGGAGGATTGGAAAACATACTAGCCACATATGCATACATGTCTAAAATACCGAGAGGAGTGGAGGAAAATGGAGGCAGTGTGACCATACCCCCAAGGGTGCTGTATCACCGCCCCCAACAGTATCTCCTCAGCAAATTTAAAAGAATAAAGAAAAGAGATTTATTTTCTATTCATGAACTAATCTACCTGAAAATATTAATAATAATAATAATAATAGTTTAAAATAATTATTATCATTAACAAGGCTATACACCTTTTAAGTTTAACAAATGCACCAAAATAATTTTTTAAGTGTGAACTTAAAAAGCTGTAATATTTGACTTTATGTAAGTTTTAAAAATTACACTGGCAGGTCTCCCTCTGGCCTGTGTTTAAGGGAGCGAGATAACACATGGCCAATAACGCTGTTCGAATCCCAGCTCCTGGTGAATTGAAAAACACACGAAGTGTGTGTGCATTATGTGTCCCAAACCCTGACAGGATGGAGTAGTGGAGAAAAAGAGATTGTGGAATGACCACTTCCTGTTTGGGGGGGGTTTCTCCTTTTCCCTTTCTGTTCTCTCTCACTAGAAGACACACACTCTGGCAGAGAAAAAAATTCACTGGCTTTTTTTGGGCATTAGGGTATTTATATTTAACAACATTAAAAAAAACTGGCTTGTGCCAGCCCATGGCCCCATGGTGAAAGCAGCTGGATCTCACATGGCTGACCATGAAGTTCAAGCTGCAGAATTTCCTCTTGTTCAGAGAAAGTCAGTCTTTCATTCTACTGGGACCTTCAATTGATCGGATAAGGCTACTGACACTACAGAGAGTAATTTGCTTTTTTTTTTTTTGGAGAGGTTTTTGCTATAGGGCATGTGCGCTCGCCAGACAGACAGAGAGAGACAGAGAGAGAGAAAGCGAGAAATCACCCCCCAGGGGGGATGGCCACACCACAATCCCTTCTCATTCATTCTCCTCTCGGGATTTTGGGCACACTTGCACACATGCCTGGCGTAAGTTTAAGCCACTGGGTCCGGGACTCAAACCACACCTGACTACATGGGAGTCCAGTGGCATAGCCATTACGCCATCTGCTGGTCCCAATTTTCTTAAAACTTTTAAAGTGTTTTATAAACAATCGAGCAATCTGAAGAAGTTAAATAAGAAATAAAATAATGACAATAAAAGAATCTCTCTTGCTTTAAATATTAAGTATTTAGACCCTGCTGAGGTGTTGCAAGCAGTAGAGAGCTGCAGCAAGATACTGAAACCACACTGGAGGCCCAGGTTTGGGTATACATCAACCCGAACACATCAGCACATTCATGATTCCGGTAGACTGGGAAGTTACGGGAAGGACTGCAGCATGATGACAGTCTATCGGCACCAGTCTCTCTCTCTCTCAAAAATAAGAATACGCTTCTTTAAAGAAGAATCTTTAAAAGTATAATATGTTTATTGGACAAAGTAGAACTACTATAAAACATGGGCGATCTTTTGCTATACTTAATATTGTGAAAATCACTATTCTCCTTCAAGGTAAGCTTAGATATCTATTGTGGTGTCTGGTCTACCTCTGTATCTTTGGTTTGGTTTTGTTTTTTGTTTTTTTTTTTTGGAGAGTTTTTCGCTATAGGGACCGTGCACTCGCCAGACAGACAGAGACATAGAGACAGAAAGCAAGAAATCACTTCCCAGGGGGGATGGGGGGATGGTCATGCCACAATCCCTTCTCCTCCATTCTCCTCTCGGGATCTTGGGCACACACGCACATGCACCAGGTGTGAGTTTTAAGCCACCGGGTCCGGGACGCAAACTGCAGTTGACTACGTGGGAGTCCAGCAACATAGCCATTACACTAACTGCTGGTTCCTTCTGTATCTTTGATTTGATAATAAGAGTATGAAAAATTAAAATATCAGGCCAGTCATGTGACATGGTGATTAAGGCAGCTGGATCCCATATAGTTGACAATGTACCTTGAGTCCCAGATTCAGTGGCTTGAAAAAAAAAAATCACACCAGTCATGCGTGCCCAAAGAGCCGAGAAAAGAATAGAGGTGAAGGGATTATGGCATGGCCACTCCCCTGGTGGGTGATTTTTCACTCTATCTCTCTGTCTTCCTGCAGTGAGTACAGACTCCCTATAGCTAACTTAAAAAATAAATAAATAAATAAAAATAAAATAAAATAAATTTAAGGGGCAGACAGTTTGTTCAGCAGTGAAATGATGCAGCATTGTGTGAGGCAGACCCACATGGGAAGTTTGCTGGCTTTCATCCGGGGACCTCCGAGAGTATGTCAGGCATGCATGTACCTGTGATCTGGGCTAGCTGAGGCTGGAGATGATCATGGCATTGGGACTCTATTTGAGGTAATGTATTTCTCTCTCTCTTTCTCATTTTCTGTCTCTCTCACTCATGGAATAAATTTATAAATTTAAATAAAATAAAATATTCACTGAACAGGGGCCAGCAGGTGGTGTGGTGCTGGGATGCTAGATTACAACATGGCAACTGCGGTTTGAGTTCCAGACCTGGCAGCTTGCTTTCTCATTTTCTCTTTCTGTCTCTTGTCTGGTCAAATCAAAAAAAAAAAAAAAATTAAAATAATAATAATAGCAAATAAAATTAAAGAAATAATTCTGTAAAAAATAATTCACTGAACAGATTCAATAGGTATAGCTATAAAAACTGCCTAGATCAATAAAAGAATTAAAGATGAGTTTGAACCTCGTTACAATAGCGGCATATATTATTTTCTCTTTGATGTCTCAAATCTGTTTGCAGAACCCAAAGCCCCAAAGAATATGTAAAAAATATATATATATATATCTTTTTTTTTTACTTTAAAGCTGGTTAGAATTATTTAACAAGCATTTTCGTTTCTTACCCTGCAACTAGAGAGTTGAGGAAAGTTTTGAAGAAATCTGACTTCGGATCTGTAATGGACTGAGGGAGTTTGCTGATAAAAGGCAGAAGATAAGGATATATGACAGTAGCTAGACCCCGACCACCTTCACGAACCACAGTCGACAGCTTGGGAAACACACTTTTTTTTGCATTTACATGAAGCCAACAGTCCTAACCAAAAAAACAAAGATTATAATAATAATTAGATTTACACTTTTCCCAATTAAGAAGACATATAAGCTCTTATAAATAAAAATCAAATATGTCACCTAAAGAGTCTAAAATCTCTTACTACCATTAAAAACCAAAACTCTTTAAGTTATAAATATATTACAGAGAAAAATCATGTGTTCTACATGTTTATAGGACAATATTAATCAGAAATAACTTTTTAACTTAAAGAATCACTATAAAAATGGCCCTCTAAAACTCCAAGGTAGCCTGGAGGTTAAGGCACTGATCTCCCACATGGCTGACCAAGGTTCTGTCCCAGACCTGGCATCTTGTTTTCTCACTTTCTGTCTTTCTGTGGTGAACGCACATGCCCTATAGCAAATTAAATAATAATAATAATAATAATGATAAATAAAATTAAATAATTCTAAAGTAAAAAAAATAATTTAAAGAAGGATAAAACTACATATCATCGTAAAAATAAGATTCAAGGACAAGCCTAGTGGTTAAGGAAGCAATGTACCAAATGTACGTCTTCCGTACCTCAACAGTTGTAAGTGTATAGAGCACAGCTTCCCAGAGAGCAGGGCAAACAACAGGATCACTATCATCAATGCTAAGCAGGACTGACGGGCTCACTTTGGATGCCTCCTCTTTCATCAGTTGTGGAATGCGCTGGCACAAAGCAGAAATGAACTCAAAATAAGCTGAGCGGATCTAAAAGAAGAAATGGAAATCTGAATTAAATTAAAGCCTAGTAAAGCTTGATAAGATTTTTTTTTACTTATAATGGTAGACAGATGACTTGCACTAACTAGTCCCCTAATAAAACTAAAAGAAACAGTACTTCAAATAATCTTCTCAAGAGTATCAAATGACTATGAAAACATGAGGAATCGCCAAAGCAAAAGTAAAGGCAAAAGTAATTCAGTATTTTTCTTTCTTTGGCTGATGCAATTACATTTTAGTAGCAGAAACCTTCATTTGGGGCATCTACTATAGTCAAATAAGACACCTGAGCCATAAACAGGAGAAACAAAACATAGTACAGAGATCTGAAACTTTACTTATTTAGAGAGATTTTTGCTATAGGGCATATGTGCCCTCCAGAGAGATAGAAAGAGAAATCACTTCACAGGGGGAAGGCCATGTCGCAATCCCTTCTCCAGTCTCCTCTAGGGGTTTTTGGCATACACTCACACACGTCCAGCGTGAGTTTTAAGCTGCTGGGTCCAGGACTCGGCCTGTGGTCAACTACATGGGAGTCCAGTGACATAACCATTATGCCATCTGCTGGTCTGAGATCTAAGACTTTAAATCTTAGTATTATTTTTCACAAACTTCATAACAACAATGCTTATTATATTTAAAGAAACAATGTGCAGAAAAATACATTTTTAGGAAACACAGCAGATGGGGAAAGCATAATTTATTAATTAAAAATTAGTGAAAATTAAAGCTTTAATTTATAATCTAAAAGTATGCTGGTCTGAATGTGTCCCCAGCCCCCAAATTTACATGTTCTAACTTAATCACCAGTGAGATAGTTTTAAAAGGTAGAGATTTTGGGACCAGCAGTTAGCATAATGGCTATGTCGCTGGACTCCCACGTAGTCGACCACGGTTTGCATCCCGGACCCGGTGGCTTAAACTCACGCCGGGCGTGTGTGCGTGCATGCCCAAGATCCTGAGAGGAGAGTGGAGGAGAAGAGATTGCGGCGTGGCCATCCCCCTTGGGGGGTGATTTCTCACTTTCTATCTCTCTGTCTCTCTCTGTCTGTCTGGCGAGCGCACACGCCCTA